TGTACTCTTTAAATTTTCATCTTTATTTCAAGTTTATTATTTAAAGGATTCACTCTCCCACTGTCCTGCTTTTCTGAGCAGAAATGAAATGAGTTATCTTACCATCTAGATTCTAGCGGGAACTCAGTGTTTTTGTCCAAGGCCCACTGCTACAAGGAAACCATGACTCCCCCTTTAATATTTATATTCTTTTCAATACTATTTCTATTAAAGGGAAATGTTGCACAAGTGACCATTGTCAGAAACACAGGTTTGTGTTCATTAAAATATTACAGGAGATATGAATATGCTGTGTAAGCCTTGGAAAGAAGTGGCAGTGATGGGGGGATAGTAATTACAAAAAAAAAAAATAATCATGAAATCCAATTCAAGTAGCATCAAATATATGGAAGAAAGCATCTGACTTGCTTAAAAGACAATGGGTTCATCTAGCTTTACTCATTTAAAAAAAATAAGTTATTCAGAAAATGTGCCAGGCAGTGGTCTAGTTTCTGAGGACATAGCACAGAAATGTATAAGAGAAGTTAATCTGATGGTAGCTGGATGGGAAGATACTTTGGGTAATCAATTGTGTATAATATTCCCCAGTTTCCACCCTAACCTAAAAGAACTGAAACAGTTCAAGCTTGAGGTTGTTCCTTCATGAAATGGTATTTGGTAAATTTCTTCCAGACATTCCTTTTCTCCATGCCTGTTTGCTATGGCCTAAAATTTTATCAGGAGAAGATAAAGCATTGATTCCATAATTACAGATAAATAATAAAAGATTCAACTGTCAAAAAGAACTATCACATTAGCTGAAATACACTCACTTTAAAAAAGTATATAATTAGGTAATAAACATACAAGCGAATGTGATCAAGTTCTTTCTAGGGGAGAAAATTAGAGACAGAGGATAACCACGGACATATTAAGATAGGGTTAGAATCATCAGTGAGAGAAAAAGAAAAAAAAGCCAACTTCACCAAAATGTAATTAATTCTGGCTCTGTCTGCCTTCAACTCTATGGACAAATAAAATGTGCAGACAGAAGACATTTTGAGCCATACACTCTCTATACAGAGGGAGGAAGCACATACATCCATATAAGCTGATGAAGTAGACCAACATAACCTCATATACTTAACAAGTTTATTTGTGGCACTTATTTGTTGACTGGTTTAACACTCAACTTCTTAGAGACTTATTTTTGGAGGACTGACTAATCAAGGAATTTTTGTACTTCCTCAGGAAAAACTTAAAGCTAAGTACGAATTCATTTATACAGGTATCTGCCTCAAAACAGTGCTCTCTCCCTGTCACAGTGGGATAAAAGAGGATTACTAAAAAGGATAAAACATTTTATCAAAAAGAAGATGGTAATTCAAGACTAAGATACATTATTTGATTTTTTCTGCCAACTAATTGTTGTTCTTTACTTGTCAAAATAACATTTATTTATCTGCTGAGGGAAATAGTTACTATCTCAAAGACTACAAAAATACTCTCTGTTCAAAAAAAGACCATATTTTTTTTTAATCAGACATGGCTATCATCTCACAATGACTTTTGAATTATTGCAAAGAAAGGAAAATTATTATTCATACGATAAAAGAAATTTGCACATAGTTTATTATGTGAAGCCAATGAAAGGAGAGAACGTATAAAAGTGTTGAAAAGGAATAAAACATATATTTTTCTGCAAATTAATTTGAACTGAATAAACTTTTTTTAATGTTGACAACACTGTAAACCCAGGGGGTGCTGCAATATGATGAATCAATTTTGTTTAATTTTATTGTTGGAACATGGCACTTAACTGTCATGCCAACTTTCTTAAACTATAACCTGAAGATATTTAGATCTGAATGAGAGTATTTTAAAAACATACACTGATAACTTCATGGCAAAGTTTGATGTAGTGTTTAGGGTAGGACATAAAGATACTTATTCCTTTCAGTGTGGGCCTTAATCCTGGTGGTTAATTGAAAAAACAGGATAGATTTTAAATAACGAATTCAGACAATTTATTTAAAACTTCAGCCCAAATATGAATATTTTTGTTGTAGAGAATAATTAATACGTAAAGAAATGAGAGAAGAGAGGAAGAAAAATAGTACTAGCCAAGAATCAACTTTAATTTAAACCAACTCTATGTTTGCACTGAAATTTTTGTCATAGCATCAAACAATTCTTTAAAAAAAATCAGGTAACTAATTAGATACCTAAATACAAATCAAAATGAAAACACTAGTTGTTTTGACTTAATTTATCTTTTACTTTTAAGGCTATTAAACAGAATTATTTTAAAAGATTTATTCAATGTGCTAAGACAGTAAAATTTTAGCATCTCTGACACAGTACCTTCAAAACCACTCTCTAAAATCCTTGAACATTCTACTTGGAGCAAGGGTGACTTTAGATGAAATGGGAAAACATTAGGTTATGAATTTGTTTCTGTAATTTCTACCTACTTTTTACTGTAGGTTTTAGACCATTTCCAGCCTCATTTTGAGACTCCTCTGAAATGGAGGATGACTCCTGGCATAGGACAGTGAAGGCCCGATATTAATTGCCTGTTGAGAACTTACAGACCAAAGCAACATAAATGCATCTGCCACGTGGTTAGAAAAAGAACAAAGAGACCCAGGGGTGAGCTATTTGGGGAATAACTATACAGCTGTCTGGTAATCCTAACCTCTACCCAGTTATGGCAGCATCTCTAGAAAATATGGTTGGCAAACTCAGGCCTGCATGAGATGATATATTCAAACAGTTGCCCAGATATGATGCTCTGTGGTTTTTCATTTAAGTATCATGGGACTAGTCAGTGTCTATCACAGACTATGCTTGGGGAGTTAAGGGTCTAGGGCACCAAAATGGCCTCTGCAGTATGCATCCAAGTACTCTGTTCTCAAGCATTTTATGAAACATTTTTCTCTTTAGTGGAAAAAATCCAGTGAAAACCTCATGCAATTTTATCTAAATACAAATTCAGAATAAGTACTTTTATTTTAACTCCAATTATTTCAGATGGTAAAATAAACTAGTTTTCTCATCTATGCAATATGTGAACTGTTTTGGGTAGTCTCTATTATAATCTCTTGAGCTCTAAGATTTCCTTTCTTCATCTCATATCTTTTCCCTAACCTGTAGGTACTCAAGAAAGGGCCAATTATTAAATCAGTTAAAATTTATGTCTGTCTATTTTTCTTAGGAAACAAGTCACCTTGTAAGGAAACATGGTCTGTTGAGTAGAAAAGACACAAGAAGGGAAAACAGATAAGGAGGGGTGAGGAGTTGGAGAGATTATAGACAAACTTATCCTGAGCAATGAAGAGCTTCCCCCCAAATGGATAAAAAAACACAACATAATAAAGGTCTTGGTGCATTGTATTGAAGCTAAAAGGAGTAGAAACCATGTATCTTAGGTCTATGACTAAAAGAAACCACGCTATTACTACGTTCTATTCTACCTTCCAAGATAACATTTGATATTTGAACTCCACTTGGCAAAAAAGGTGATTAACATAATAAAAAAAAAATGAACAAACAAGCAAACAAAAAGATTAGTCCCTTCCAGTTAGTTCTGAGAAATAGACTCATTACAATTTGCCCCCTTGGCAGGAAAAAAGACCCAAATACAGACATTCCTCCTTCCCGAGGGAGATTCTTATATTTAATGGAAAGGAACACCTTTTCTAGATACCTGTCTTTGCTCCATGTGTTTTCCATTGTTTGGGTGTATATCAACTTGGAGTACAAGGTCTTTTTTTTTTCTTTATTTAGACTAAACTCTTTACCAGTCTTGATGCTAATGAGGTTTATCTGCAGTGGGAAGATAGACTTCCATTTGAGTGGAATTCCATGAAGAAAGAAAAGGGATCATAAAGACATCTGATAAAACCAAACACCTCTCTATTCAATTTTACAAACTTGTGAATTATTATGTTTGTTTGTGTTTGTGGAGTTGCCTCTTTCAATATGTTTTCAATAGACAACAAGGCACCAAAAACCCTGGGTAAATAATAGAAGTTAAAAATAGTTACTACCTAACAATGTTACTGGAACAATTAGAGTGCAGAAAACTCTCACATGAGAAGCCAACTAAAAACAAAGGTTGGCATGATGCTGGTTCTTTGGTTCTTTTCAAATTAATAAAACACACTTGCTCTAAACTCATCTCTCTCACTTAAAACTATTTGGGTTGTTTTGATTTGTTTCCAACCCCCACTAAAATATACAATAGTGGATCCTTTGTGCAATTCTGCTTTTTTCCTTCTTCTTTTTTATATATATCCAGAGTACCAGCATACATTTGTATGCATGGATGATACATATGCCTTATTTTCATACTCAGAGAGCATGGGAATTATTCTTGAAGAAAGCCTCTTGCTAGCTAGATTCCATTAGGTCACATTATTCAAATGCAGTATAACACAAAATTCATTTGTTCATCTGGTGTCTAGTTGCTAAGGAACACAGCCAAAAAGTTAACCTTTGCAACACAACAGAAGACCAGTAGAGAACCTGAGCACTGTCCATAGGAATGTACAGAGCCTCTGAGCAAGGGGAACTACACTTCTGTATTCAAACTAGAAGACCATAGCATTATTAGGAAAGAACTATTTTTTACCACTGGAATAAAAACAGTGACTTCCATTCTCTTTTCAAAAAGCCCAGGAGCTTTTCTAGACTCATGACCTCTGATGTCACTTAACATATTTTAAACAGAAGTCCTATCACTTCTGCTTTTAAATAGGAAAACGAGACTCCTGAAAAACATAAAGGTTCTGAAATGCCCCATCAAGTCTACCAAAGGAAACAATTTAACTTTGTTTTTCTTAAGGGCAAACATCTACAGAGAGATGAATCTGACAAAGCAATAAACACGATCTGAATTATTTTCAAAAGTCTTACCTAAGTTTACTAGACACATGTAAAAGGTGCTATCTATTTTAAAGACCTAAAAGATGTTATTATGTCTTAGTGTATCATAAATTTCTAAAAGATATACTCACATTTTGCTGTCACTTTGTACCCCCCCAGAGGAGGGGCATGGCCTTCTAATGCATCAAATCCAGCAGAAACTAGGACCATGTCTGGATCAAACTCTTTGGCCACAGGCGTCACTACAGTCCTGCACAGTAAAAAGGCAACCAGTTACACATGGGAATGGTGAATACCTTTAAAAATTGTGCAATGAAAATGACTTGGCACATCCTCAAGAACTTCCCAAGAATAAAGAAAAGGGGAAAAGAAAACACTATTTGAATGGATCAAAAACTTATCATTTCCTTAACAGTGAATCACTATTATTTTAGCATCCCAATTCAGTCTTTTTTCTTTCATCTTTTTTTCCCTCTAAATTAAAAAAAAAAATGCTTTGCAGGTACATTCTAAAGCCCATCATATTACATGCACATCTGTGGCTGTTTTATCCCACTGCCTATAAAACAGTGCTTCTTCCAAGGGAGTGACTAATGTTTTACAGAGGAAAGTCGAAGCTTTAGTGAAAACCTGGCTTGCTCCAGTTAGTGAGAACTTGGTGTAAATTTGAACTATAAATTTCTTTTGAGAAAAAGTTGCTTTCTAACTGAAAAAAAATTTTTTTAAATATTTGTCATGGTAGGGGGTAAATCCTGCAAAGGAAAAACACAAAATTCCTTTAATAGAATCCAGACTATAATGTTAAGTGAGTCCAAGGTCAGAGACACCAGGAATGTGGCAGCCTCATCCATGACAGCAACCCCTGCTGGCCCCACTCAGACACTTCAGCATTTACCTCTTCAGCCTTCTCAGGTCACCCCAACCCCTATTTCCTCAGTGCTGGATTTGAAAGAAAATGACTAATAGATGCTACTGGGCTTTGTAAAATAAAATTTAAAAAATTAATGTAGGCTTCGAGACCAATGTGCCAATATTAACATTCAAATTTCCAAGGACTATTTAATAAGATGGGGAAACTGCACACAATAGCAAATTTAAAAAGTGGTAAGTTCTCTGTTGTGTGTTTAAGAGAAATAACTGAACTAAATATTAAAATTGCTATCCTTAAGTAGTGACAAAATTAAGTTCTTTTCATTTTTTTATGTTTGCAAATTTCTTAAATTTTTAAAGTGAAAAACCACATATTAGTTCTACACTTAAAAATTTAAACAAGTTGTTGAAGTCATAAAACAAAAAAATACTTATTTGAAACTCATAAATGAATGAAATGTTTTTCATAACTCCACTACTGTTATAAAAGTATAAAATCTCAATACTTCAAACTCATAAATGTACATGTAAATGACTTGCACGGTAGTCTTTTTAACAATTGGAAAGCCACTCATATCTGAATTAGCCCACCAGTGAAATTAAGTGAAAACCTAATTTTGTTTACTATGTACAGTTTCATTATTTTATTCTTCAATAAAATTAAGAATCTCTAATACAGCTACATTATCAGGAGAGGTATCTTGAATCCTTTTCCTTCCCAATAATACCAACACTTACATTATAATTTTCATAAAAGTATTATATATTACCAATTCACTACTTTTCATATGAGTGAAATACCATGTGATATATGTATCTGGGATATTATATATTGGACTAAATTGTCTCAATCAAGACTGTTTTATCAAGGAACTCCATCTATTTAGTATGATTAATACTATGTATTCCTTTTGAAAACAAATAATACTCTTAGGAAAATATGGAGGTAGATGACTGAACCAAGTTGTCATCCAATCACATGCATCATAGTAACCAATTTTCCATCTCCTTTCCCTCTCTTTGGAAAATTTCTCCCCCCTCCTCCTCTTTTCTCCATCATTAGTCTACACTTGTAAGATTGATTGAAGGGTAAACATCCTTCAAGGCACAGCTCACTATCTTCTCCAAAAGGGCTTCTATCTACATATGGATATTAAACATATATGTATATATTTTTGAAGGACAAAGATAATAAAGGAGACAAGGATTGCCAATTTGAAAATATGACAAACATGGAGACAATCTACAGAGGGGAAAATTAAAACAGAAGTCTAAGTGTCTGCAGAGAGGAAGCTACAAAAAGCAAGTTGACTTTTCTCTTTTCCTGGAGAAACAAATGGACCAAAGAGAAAATACCTAGAGAGAATGACACTTGTCAGTCACTCAGACCAACAGTCAGGTTTTTTCCTCAATCTTCCCATAGTGAATGTACCACTCAAAAGCCCCACTCACCATATAGAGTTCCCACTTATCTTCTCAGTGCCCTTTTCTCAAATATGAAGGACTATTTGAAGAAAATTTCTAGGATAAAAGATAACAAAACTAACATACAAACAAGGGAACTCAGAAAACCAGAGAAAATTCAGGGAAGACACTACAATCACCAAAATTAGGATTACCCTCAAAGATATAAAACAGTACATTTGGAAAATGAAAAGTGGGTGTTATTAAAAGAAGAAGAAACAACAAACAAAACATAGAATAGACTGTTTAAAAGATAAAGTTGACAAGTTCTCTCATAAAGTACAACACAAAACAGAGACATGGAAAGTTGACAACACTTGATAGGACAATTAAAGAACCCGTTTAGGAAGTCAACATACAAAGAAAATTCTAAGGGATTTTTTTTTCTTTTTTCCCAGTCTCATTGAGAAATAATTGACATAGAGCACTGTATTAGTTAAGGTGTCTAGCATAGTGGTTTGAATTATATGTATTGTGAAATGATTACCACAATAGGTTCAGCCAACATCCTTTTCATCTAGATAAAATAAAAGGAAAAAGGAAAAAGAATTCCCATGATAAGAATTCTTAGGATTAACTTTCATAATATTTCCCAGTATATCATACAGCAGTGTTAGCTAATGTTATCATGTTATACATTACATTCCTACTACTTATCTTCTATTAGTTTGTACCTTTGATCACCTTTCTCCAATTCCCCTTGCCCTCGCAATCTGCCTCTGATAACCACAAGTCTGATCTCTTTTTCTGAGTTTGTCTTTTTTTTTTAGTTTTGTTTTTTAGATTCCATATATAAGTGAAATCATATAGCATTTGTCTTTGTCTGACTTATTTCACTCATTTAGCATAACACCTTTCAGGTCCATCCATGCTGTTGAAAATGGTAGGATTTCCTCTTTTTTATGGCCAAGTAATATTCCATTGTATCTACACACCACAGTTTCTTTATCCATTCATCCACAATGAACACTTGGGTAGTTTCTATGTCCTGGCTATAATGAATAATACTGCTACGAACATGAGGGTGCAGACTCCTTTCCAGTTAGTGTTTTCATTTCCTTAGGATATATTCTCAGAAGTGGAAATGGTAGATCATAGGATAGTTCTCAATTTAATTTTCTGAGGATTCTCCATACTGTTTTCCATTGTGGCTGCACCAATATACAATTCTACCAATAGTGCATAAAGTTTCTGTTATCTCCACACCCAGGCCAACATTTGTCATCTCTTATCTTTTTTATGATGGCCATCTAACAGACCCGAGGTGATATCTCACTGTGGTATTAATTTGCATTTCCCTAATGATTAGTGATCTTGAGCATCATCTCATGTACCTGTTGGTCTTATGTATATCTTCTTTAGAAAATATCTATTCAGGTCCTTTGGGATCATTTTTAAAAATTGGGTTGTGTTTTTTTCTATTGAGTTGTATGAGTTCTTTATATATTTTGGATATTAACCCCTTATCAGATATATGATTTGCAAATATTTTTTCCCATTCCATAGGTTTTTTCATTTTGTTGATGGTTTCTTTTGCTGTGCAGAATCTTTTTAGCTTGACATAGTCACACTTCCTTACTTTTTATTTTGTTGCTTGCACTTCAGATACCATAACCAAGTAATTGTTACCAGGGCCCATGTTAAGAAGCTTTATTCCTATGCTTTCTTCTCAGGGTTTCATGGTTTCAGGACTGAAATTTAAGTCTTTAATCCATTTCAAGTTAATTTTGTAACTAGTATAAGATATGGGTTCAGTTTCATTATTTTATGTGTGAATACCCAATTATCACAGCACCATTTATTGAAGAGACTGTTCTTTCTTCACTGAGTATTCTTGGCTTCTGTCTCAAATATTAGTTGACTGTTTATGCTTGGGCTTATTTCTGGGCTCTGCATTCTGTCCCATTGTTCTATTTTTCTGTGTGTGCATGTGTGTGTGGGTGCACACGCCAGTACCATACTGTTTTGACGAATATAGCTTTATAGTATAGCTTGAAATCAGGAAGTTTGATGCTTCCTGCTTTGTTCTTTCTCATGATTTCTTTGACTCTTTGGAGTCTTTTGTGGTTTTTCTATCTCTTTTTTAGAGTGTGTTTTTTCTATCTCTGTAAAAAATGCCATTGGAATCTTGATAGAGATTGCACTGAATCTATATATGGCATTTTATTATTTTTGTCACTATTGTAAATGGGATTGATTTATTTCTTTCTCAGAAAATTCACTGTTAGTGTATAGAATATGGTACTGATTTTTGTATGTTAATTTTGTATCTTGCAACTTTACTGAATTCACTGATTAGATCTTTTTAAAAAAAAAAAGGATTTTATTTATTTATTTTACAGAGAGAGGGAGCACAAGCAGGGAGAGCAGCAGGCAGAAGGAGAGGGAGAAGCAGGTTCCCTACTGAACAGGACCCTGGGATCATGACCTGAGATGAAGATGGACGCTTAACTGGCTGGGCCACCCAGGCGCCCCTGTGATGTCAGTTTTAATGTCTCCTTTTGCACTTATAATTTTATTGATTTGGGTCTTTTCTCTTTTTTCCTTGGTCTAGCTATATGTTTGTCAATTTTGTTTATCTTTTCAAAGAAGCAACTCTTACTTTGGTTAATCTTTTCTATTATTTTTTAATTAACATATAATGTATTATTTGTTTCAGGGGTCCAGGTCTGTGATTCATCAGTCTAACACAATTCACGGTGCTCACCATAGCACATACCCTCCCCAATGTCCATCACCCAGCCACCCCATCCCTCCCACCCCCCTCCACTCCAGCAACCCTCAGTTTGTTTCCTGAGATTAAGAGTCTCTTGTTTGTATCCCTCTCTGGTTTCGTCTTGTTTCATTTTTCCCTCCCTTCCCCTATGATCCTCTGCCTTGTTCTCTATTTCATTTATTTCTTCTCCAATCTTTATT